TGTAGTAATACTTGGGAGGAGACTTCACTGGTGGTGGAGGTGAAGTGTAGTGGTATGGTGGTGGTGGAGACTTAACCGGTGGTGGAGGCGATGTGTAGTAGTATGGGGGAGGTGGTGATTTCTCAGGTGGTGGGGGTGATGTGTAGTAATACTTGGGAGGAGACTTCACTGGTGGTGGAGGTGAAGTATAGTGGTATGGTGGTGGTGGAGATTTAACTGGCGGGGGAGGTGATGTGTAGTGGTATGGAGGAGGTGGTGATTTCTTAGGTGGTGGGGGTGATGTATAATGGTACACTGGAGGAGACTTCACGGGTGGAGGAGGAGACTTGTACAAATAAGTCGGTGGCGGTGGTGGTGGAGATTTGTAATAGTAGGGAGAAGGAGTGGGCTCCGGCTTTTGGCTTTGGCTTTGGCTTCTCACATATCTTTGAAGGAGTCTTAGGAGCATATGCAAAAGCTTTAGCTTGAAGGACAACCTCATAAGCGTTTTTGGACTTGACCTTAAGCTCAGCTCCCTTCAAACCCCCATGGAGATTTGTTGGAATGTTACATTTTGTTCCATTTGGTGCCATATGAAGCTTAGCACTACAACCTTTAGCTCCTCCATATTTTGAATAGTCCAAACCCTCGACAGTAATTGCATATTTACCGTTGATCTTAGTCTTTCCATATACAGAAATTTCTTTTTCACCAGCAGTCTTGCATGTGACCTCCACAACAGCACCTTTTGCACGCATTTATAAAATAAGTCAACATCATGTTTCGTTTGGATCAACCTTTTTTAGCACTCGGCAATAACTGATTTGTGATCTAATTAATATCAAACTAAAACATGGTTTGGTATGCTTGGTATAATTTTGAATTGATTTTATTTAATAAATCATTATCATGCATGAATTCTTTAATAAAAAATAATCATAAATATATGATACGAAATGTAGAACTTTCATAGAAAGAATATGCGTAACTTTAAAAAGGCATCTTTAGTTTTTAAAGTATTGTAATTTTTAAGGATTTGAAAGATATTCGTTTTTTCAGTCCACATTTATATGGTATAATAATAAATAAATATATAATTATAAGGTCATATATAGCACGTTATCTCAAAAATTAAATAAAAGCTTGTAAAATCATGCTTTAATTGTATAAAAATACATAGTTTTTCATTTTCATGTTTCTTAAGATGTAAGTTAACGAATAAAATAAAATAATTTTCATGTTTCATTTTTAGATCAATTGTTTTTGAAAGACGATTTTATATGTGTGTATTGAGGGATAAAAATATTGAGGAAAACCAGAAATGGAACATGGGTCAACCATCAAAGCACATGCATACTGCCGAATTCATATAAAACTAAATTTATACCTTTAAGGTGGTGCTTCGCGTGTGATTTGATAGGGTATTTCCAGTCATAGCAACTGTAGCAGTAAACTTTACCCACGACCTTTACGATGGCTTTGTTGTGGTGAGGGTGAGGGGCCGGGTGGTATGGGGTTGGTGGTGGTGGAGAAGTATAGTAATAGTGTGGAGGAGATTTTGCTGGTGGTGGTGGAGACTTGTAGTAGTATGGTGGTGGTGGTGACTTAACGGGTGGTGGTGGAGATTTGTAGTAGTACGGTGGGGGTGGTGAATGCACCGGTGGAGGAGGGGATTTGTAATAGTATGGTGGTGGGGGTGATTTCACCGGTGGTGGTGGGGACTTGTAGTAGTATGGTGGTGGTGGAGAATGCACCGGAGGAGGAGGAGACTTATAGTAATATGGTGGTGGTGGTGATTTAACTGGTGGTGGTGGAGACTTGTACTCATAAGGAGGTGGTGGTGACTTAACCGGTGGAGGAGGAGACTTGTACTCATATGGTGGTGGTGGTGAATGAACCGGTGGAGGTGGAGACTTGTACTCATATGGTGGTGGTAGTGAATGAACCGGTGGAGGAGGAGACTTGTACTCATATGGTGGTGGTGGTGAATGAACCGGTGGAGGAGGAGACTTGTACTCATAAGGTGGTGGTGGTGAATGCACCGGTGGAGGCGGAGACTTGTATTCATATGGTGGTGGTGGTGAATGCACCGGTGGAGGAGGAGACTTGTACTCATAAGGTGGTGGTGGTGAATGCACCGGTGGAGGTGGAGACTTGTATTCATATGGTGGTGGTGGTGAATGCACCGGTGGAGGAGGAGACTTGTATTCATATGGTGGTGGTGGTGAATGCACCGGTGGAGGAGGAGACTTGTACTCATAAGGTGGTGGTGGTGAATGCACCGGTGGAGGTGGAGACTTGTATTCATAAGGTGGTGGTGGTGAATGCACCGGTGGAGGTGGAGACTTGTATTCATAAGGTGGTGGTGGTGAATGCACCGGTGGAGGTGGAGACTTATATTCATACGGTGGTGGTGGTGAATGTACAGGAGGAGGGGGAGACTTGTATACATATGGAGGTGGTGGTGAATGTACCGGTGGTGGTGGAGATTTGTACTCATAAGGTGGTGGTGGTGAATGTACCGGTGGAGGTGGTGACTTGTAAATGTATGGTGGAGGTGGTGAAGAATAGATGTAAGGATCAGCTGAAACAGCTACAAGGTTAGCAACAGCAAATACCGTGAATGCGATGACAATAGGCCATAGACTAGCCCTTAAAGGGCGGCCGCCACCGGCGGTAATTCTCATGGTTCACCGGTGATGGGTGAAGAGGGTGGAAGGGGGAGAGAGATGGTGAGGTGATGTGTTTGGAAGTAAAGTTGATGATATATATAGATAGAAGACAAAGAGAATAGTCGTTAGAAGGAAGCTGTCAGGCAGAGAGTAAGAATGCAATTTGTGTATTAGAAAAACTTGCCAATGGTAATACAGCTGGGACACATGCTCTACTTTTTTAAGTGGTCGTTTACAAGGGTTTGAATCGTTAAAACTGCAACTCGGGTTCAACCCTGTATATATGTTGTAGATAAAGTCTATATGTTTACTTTTTATACACATTTACGTATAAAATACAATCAATAATAAAATGATATTTTTGTTATTAACGAGTCTTAAAAAAGTTCATTATCTTGAGCATTATTGAACTTAGAGGCGGCTCAACTCATTTACACTCACTTTTTAAGGTTGTTTTGTTTGAAACTATGTATCTCCGTGCTCTAAAAATTACCCGAAGTTTTAATAATCGACAGGGTTAGAAAATATGGATGTATAGGACAATTTAGGTAATTAATTAAAACTAGTACTTGTCATAATAAATAATTCAGTAATGATATTCAACTACTACTCAAATATTCATGATAATATACAAAAATAGTGTTATTTATATTTATTAAGCTTAGTAAACAAAAGAAATAAGTTTTGGTCAATATTAAGTTTTTTTCAAACTAATAATGAAATTTTATATACGGATTATAAAATTAATAGGTACGGTAACATATTTTTTAGAACGTTATTTACCTGCTCCAAATTTTTTATGCTGTGATCCAGACAGGTGCTCTGCCACTTCTAGTATAAATTATAAAATGCCTCATTTACAATCCTACTTTGCTTTGGAAAAGCAATATAACTATTTTTTTAATAAGTTTAAATATAATGGTTTGATTTTCTTAAAATATTTTATTTAAATTTATCTAATTGTTCTTAATAATTCTTAAAAGATATTAACAAAGCTGATTGTATTTGACAAGTTTTTGTTTTACATTTTCTTTATATATATATATATAGATATATATATATATATATCTATATATATATATATATATATATATATATCTATATATATGATGGGGACTAAAAATAATTTCAATGGAGTGCTAGATGATGTTTTGGTGTTTTCTTTTGCAAGGTGTCACCTTTTGAAGTCAACAAATCATTTTCTCATTATCTCACATGCATGTCGAATTTCCTCACAAAAATAGTATCTTTGATGGAAACAAAATAAAATTGTCTATTTCCATGATAATGCAATACCTAATCTATGAACTTATTTCAACAACTTACTATTTACAAATTTTCAATTTGCATATCATTTGTATCAAGTTGAAGAAGTTTTACAAAAGAGCCACTATATAACCTTTATTACATATGTATGCATGTGTGGGTTTATTAAAATTGTTACAACCTACTACTTGTAAGAAATGTCAAACACCATAAAAGCATCATTTAAACCAATTGAAGCCAAAAATTAAAAAAAAAAAAAATTCGTGGATTGAAATAGTCTATCAGTTTCTGAGCTAGATAATAATATATTTTTTGGTCGGCGAAGGCCAGCAAAACGTATTAATATACAAGTACGTAAAATGTAGCATATAGTATAAGTTATGATTGTATAGACAACACAAAAACCATTAGAAAGAACAAGCAAATGGGGGTTTTACATTTGGGACAACTTTATGAAATTATTCGATTTATCGTATACTATAAATAAAATGACATTTATTTACACTTTATTAAAGAGATATCCCTAGAAGGCTAGAACCTCAGAGTTTCAAAATTTTGGCCTTTTACTCCTACTCTTTTCTAATTCTACAAGAATCCAATATAATATTAGGGTTGTTGCATGTGTTTTTTGGGTGGGGTAGGGGCGGCTTTTCATTGGTACATTTCACAAAATCTAATAATTAATTACGTTAATAGTAAAATTATATATACGGTAAAATTCGAAAGAAAGCAGAAGGAAACAAAAGGAGAAATTATGCCATTTTATCAAAATAATATCATTGTTAAACCCAACTGAGGAATACTATTTTATCAAATTGTTTCTTAATTGTGTTATCAGGTTTCGTAGTTGGGCTCGACATTGTGGATTCCATAATGAAATAACTTTTTCGAATATTGGTTCGGTGTTATGTTCATGTAGATTTTCGTACTGATACTGTAAAATTACCCATCACTGTGAAATTGACATTTTTTTATAAAATTAGAAGTTATGTAAATATAATATTCATATTAAAATTCAAAACTTCAATTCGTATCCATATGAGCACGGTTTGATCCTTTCCCATTATAATTTTTTAAGCCGTTCAAACGTCGGGTCCGGGCTACACGATTATCTGCCCTTGATCCACTCCAATCAGTGATACACACAACACACCTATCCAATTTTTATTTTTTATTTTTCAGTTTTAACCCCAAGCTTTCACATTTTTACCATTTGGGACTAACTTTTTTTAGAAATTTCGTCTAACTTTTTTTTAGTAAGAAACTCCCACATTCCTTTACAACTTTTCTTTTTAAAATTAGTTTTTTAGAAATTTTATTTTACAAATTCTTTTATATTTTCTATAACTTTATTTTTCATGAAATTATTTTCTTTTAAAAAAACTTTTTAGACATAATTATTTTTAAACACATTTCATTTTTAAATGTTTTTAATAAGATTTTTCTGTTTTATATATCATTTTTTATAACTTTCTCAACTTTTATTTTGTTATTTAGAACCTTTTTTTTTTTAAAGTTCGTTTGTAAAAATTATTTTACATTTTTTATAAGTTTTTTTTTTAATGATTTCATCCAAACTTTGTTTACAAATTGTTTCCAGTTTTTTTATACATTTACCTTTTTAGTTTTTTTATAGTTAAGTTTCATCTTGGAATTTTCTTAGTAAGTTTTCTTTTACAGGTTTTTTTTATAATTATATTTAATTTTTTTATAATATATTTATATTTTAATTTTTGTGTATATTTTTATTTGTATTTACTTTTGTTTTAACAGATTTGTTTTTACATGTTTTTAACACTTTTCCCCTTTTTACAGATTACAAATTTAGTTCACAAGCATGCGGGATGTTACCAGCGTTACTTTTGCATGTTTCTAACTACATTTACCTTCTTTTCTATAATTTAAACATTTAGTATTTAGTATCTCTTTTGAATAATGCCACTTTTAAAGTGAGTACTTTTCGTATGTATTTTAATACCAGCGTTACTTTATAATTAAAATGAAGACCAAGGTGGCATCCGATTACGATTGGATCTTGGAGTACTTACTTGTTTCTTTCTTTTTCTTTCTTTTTTTTTTTTTTTAATTTGTCTCCACTCTTAGTAACCCCATCACAAATTTTAAAACATTTCTTGCAATTTTCTTTCTTTTTAATTATTATTTATCACTAAGAAATGATTGAAGGCGGTCGTTTGCATTCTACTTGCACGATTCATTTTAAATGTCGACATGATCCAAACATGTTGCTTTAATGAATAATGATCAATAAATTCAGTTTATATTTTATATATTAATATAATTTAATACTTTTCGTGTTTAGACCATATAACTTTTATACTTTAAAGAGAGAGTGTTATTTTTGTGAATTATATTTGTAAAACGAATTAGTAATAAAATGTTTTAGTCATAAATTTCATGAATGGCTAAATATCAAATTCTAGTTGAATGTTTTCACTGTATAGGCTTATTAGAATGAGAGCCATATGATAAGGTAATGAAGCTGTAGGTATTGGTCTTGACGGACCATCTAGAAAACAACTTAAATGTCTTAAAAATGGCTATCAATATAATCATTTGAGTTGCATAGAATTTGAAAATAATTAAGATTATTCTTTTTTATGGGATAAACACACTCTTAATGAATTAACTATGTATTCATAACCTTTAAATTAAGGGGCATTTACTCGTATTAAATGTTGATAATTTAATTACACATTTTGGTAACTTAGGGGGCTCTCTTTTGGTTTTTTCCGCAAGCCTCAAATATCATTTAATCATGAAAATATTTATAGTTTTATCGTGTAATTATGAAAATATTTGTAGTTTTATGTGATGTAAATAACATTATGATTTTATTTACAACAAAATCAAAACATGTTTGTTATGTTTTAGAAAAAATAAAATTCTTAATATATATATATATATATATATATTATATATATTATAGATATATATATTATAGATATATATATATATATATATATATATATATATATAGAGAGAGAGAGAGAGAGAGAGAGAGAGAGAATATTATTATTCTTTTAAGAGTAGATTACACAAATCATCTCTCGAGCAGGTGTTAAAAAAACACATTTTATCCCTATTTTCAAAAATTAATTTGGATCGTCCTTCATTTAGTTTAAACTTGCAAGTGTGATCCCTCCAGACATAAAACGACTATATTGTCCTTAATAATTTATTTTAATGTTTTTAATTCATTTATATTGCCTATAATTTATTTATATAATTATTTTAAAAGATATTGAATATTTGTTGGTCCCGCCTTCTTTTATCCATCATTCTTCATCTTCCTCTTTCTTTTTTAAAACAATCCACCATTGTATATATACAACACCACCACCGACACCTCTTGTAGTCATCACTATAGTTACCGCTAAGACCTCTTACAACCACCAGATCTGATATTAGATTCAAAATCTAGAATCCGAAACCTAATACTAAAACCATAATCTAAAGCTCAAGAAAAAAATGAAATGAAAACCGATTTTCTGAAATCTAAAACCATAATAAACCAAAATCTAAAACTGTAACGAACACAAAATCCTAATCTAAAACCTGTAATCAACATGAATTTTCGAGATGAAATCCTCAAACCTAAAACCGGCCATGTAAAGGAATACAACTCCCGACACTGATTCAGTCAATTTAAGCATTGGAATTGTTGAAAACTTTATGGATTGACTCCATAACAACATATGCAAAATGGAAAGCTCCAATCTTCTTCATGT